ATGACTTTAGATGTCCTTCCCCACAGACGGCGCCAAATGTTTATGCAGAAATCTGCACAACGGTTCTTCACGAATCGAGCTCGAACCCGGTCTCCGATTCTGACCTGTACACTAGAGTGGACCTGCACAAGAGGGTGAACACTCCGACGCTCAAGTCAGTATAGATCGGACTCCTTATTTAGTTCGAGGTGAGATTCGATACCTGAGCGTGAAATGAACTCCTCTATTTATAGGTAATGGGCCCGACAGCACACACGACCGGCGGTTACATGTCTTTTCTCATATCGGACCTGTCGGGTTCCGAGCAGGTCGGACCACGGTCAGGTCGAGCTTTGGTGCCCATACTTCATCTTTTAAGGGGCAAACTCGGTCCACCTCGGCGGACCTAAACAATCCTTTTTATCTAATTTCTTCCAACACGAATAATGGTCCTCCACGTGTCCCATAGTTTACCCCAAACATATATTAAAATGGTCCCTGCAATAATTTTGGCTGCCCACGTTTTTTACTACTCAGCCAATCTCATACATCCAAATCAATCACCAATGAAGAAGTAGCAGAGCGATTGGTTGCTGCTTCTTGGAAATTGGGAACTACACCTTCCCCCTTCGTTGCAGAATCAGAGGACTCCAAATTTGTGTGAGCGTTCGCCATTAATCATCATCATCAACGATCTCAATTTCTCCTCAGAAAACCCATTTCAATCTTCAAAAAAATTTCCCACTCAAATCCCCTTTTCAGCTCAAGGGGTCGGAGGAATCGTCTCAGAAAATGTTCCCATCGCCCGTGGAAGAAGGATGGCTATATTGGGTCCGATGGCAAGTCCCCGTCTGCGCTCTGGTAATCGCCATTCCCTCTGTTTTCGCTCTTAAATTCATCAGAAAGTCAATGGCGGAGCCTCTGCTTCTCAGTGATCTGTGGGCTACTCACTGGAGGCGCCTCAGCCCTCTCTGGCTTCTGCTCTACAGAGCTTTTGCCTTCGTTTGCTGTGTTCAGCTTCTGTACGAGATTGTGGCCTTACATGGACCTTTTGTCTTCTTTTTCTACACTCAGTAAGTTCGAATACTCCATGAAATGAAGGAGATGGAGTTGGTTTTTCTGATTAAGTTGTGGCTTGAGTTCAAACTATGTGGGATTTTTCTCTGTGTTGTTCGCTAATCTGCTGTTTCGTTGGTGGGACTTGGTTTTTGTAGGTGGACAATGGCATTAGTAGCAATCTATTTTGCGGTATGTATTGGAAGTTTCGGTTAGATCATGAATTTGATCTTATGGTTCCAGATTAGTTTCAATTTGTTATCTATGGTTTCGGATTAGTTTTAAAATTATAATTTGGCTCCGATAGTTCGGTTAAACGTCACAAATTGTCCCTTTTCTCCTATCTTACTCAACACTAAATATTAATAGGAAATATTAGCTCATTGCCATGTAATAGTAAATGTACCACATACTCAATATTACCTACAATTTGTGTTGGCAGAGACAATTTGTAAGGTTTTACAAAAGAGACCAAATGGAAGTTTTTAAAACCATAAGGAACAAATTGAAACTAAGCTCAAATTATAGGGAATAAATTTGTAATTTAACGGTTTAACCTAGAAGTTCTATGAGTTGCTGCCAATTTGCCTGCAAAACTTTCTGATGTTGTTGTTCTTGTTCTCTTTGTAGCTGGGGACTATAGTATCTGCATATGGATATTGGTATCCTTCAAGGAAAACCCAGTCCAAAAATGAGGAGGGATCTAAACTCCTGGAAAAAGATTTGAAGAAGAATAAAATTGCAACCTCAAGAAGTAATGGAGACAATGTTGTTGAGCTGCAAAACAAATATGCTCAACAGGAGAAAGCAGGATATTTAGGAACTCTAATGCAAATGTCATATCTGGTTCATTCCAAACTCTCTCTCTCTACTAGAACATATGATCCTCTGTTCTTATTTAACATTTTGAACACCAAATTTGATGATATATTTGCTTTATCTCAATACATCTCTTTGTTTCTGCATTGTTACTAAATTGATAGATGATACATCCTACCACAAGAAGATAGAAATATGGACTCCAATTTGACTCTATCAAATTGGAGTTTTCTTTGTGAAGAGTTGGTAACTTTTCTCTTTTGAGATTTACGTCGATTGGAGCGCTTTTATGCAAGCTCATTGGGAATTTTTTATGAGTTCTTATCCTCACTTTTGTATTCTTTCATTACAAATAAAAGTTGTTTCTTACTTTCATAAAAAATAACTGTATCAGTTCTCACCTCATTTACACGTTTTCTCTATTTTTTCTGTGATTTTGTACAATACCTATACTCTTTTCATCGCAGGCATCGGCCGGTGCTTCTGTATTAACCGATGTTGTGTTCTGGTGCCTTCTCGTGCCATTTCTGCTTGGTGAAAATTTCCAAGTCAACCTGGTGTGTATTGACTTCTCTTAGTTAACTTGATTATCAAATTTCTCAGTAGTTCAGAATCCTTCTTAGTTCACTTCTTCTCTTTCAGTTTCCAACTTCCCTAACTTCATTGACATCCACAACTTCACATTTTTAGTTTGGATTGTGATAAGAATATGAACTGAAGCCAAAATATACTTTGCAGAAACTGAACATTTACTATTATCAGAAAAACTGCACATCTGATGGCCTTGAACAACACAAGTCTACAAGATTGTTACTTGCATTATCTTCAATAATTTTCTTGTATTTTGTTGCATTGGATTAATGAAAGCCACAGTTTGTATGGATGATATAATGGACTTGTTCTACAAACATTATGGTTGGGTTACTGTAATTTTCATTTCGTTCTAACATAAGCTAAAAGGTCGAGTAAATTTAATCTTTTGAATATATTCTTTAACACCCCTTATGTCTGAACTCCGATGTCAAGGTCAAACACATGGACTATTGTATGAAAGTCGATAGGAAATAACATTCTAGTAGTTTGAACTCAAAGATGGCCTGCTTTGATAATCACCACTAGACCCAAATGCTTTAGTTGATAGGCTAGAGTAAATTTGACGTGAATTTCTCTTTGTATTCGTTAAAAACCATCCTCTCTCGATCGACGTTTATTTATTTCATTTCCAATTGTGTTTAGTGAGCTGAACAGAACAACAGCTTGATCCCTCAAAAATTTATTTTCCTTTTACACTAGTATTATAGTGCACCATTCTTGTTTCCAAAAAACCTACTCACCTCCATTGGTTTTGTACTATTTGTTATTGGCAGTTGATAGGTAGCATACATACTCTGAATGCTGTTTTTCTTCTTGGAGACACTGCTCTCAATAGCCTTGTAAGTATCAAATGTTAAAGAAGCAAACATCTTATTCTTTCACTTCTTGGATCTCAAACTCTCTTCAATCTCTTGTTCATGTTTAACCGAAACACTTCGCTTTTCCAGTCGTTTCCTGTGGGCGGTTTCGCATACTTCGTGGTCTTTGGCGGTCTCTATGTCGTTTTCCAATGGAGCGTGCACGCGTGCTGCGTAAACTGGTATGCAAGTGTTCTCCTTCTTGAGTTTTTAGTATATCTCTCAAAAGGGAATAAAATAACAGAGTGTTGTTAACTTACCTCAGGTGGCCATATCCTTTCTTTGAGCTCAGTACACCTTGGGCTCCTCTCTGGTACGCTGCTTACTAACAACTCATCTCTCTCTTTCCCTCCTCTCGTTAAATTGCCACTGCACTCGAAAGCTTGAGCTGATAAGTTACGATTTGTTTTAATCTTTAATACATCACTCTCACACTCGGGTTTGAAAATGAATACAAAACCTACAATATTGTTAGTCTTGAGATATCCAAATATGAATTAAATTTACCCAACATATCAACTTAAACCCAAAAATTTTTGGGTCTTGTTGCAGTTTTCCAAGTTAAGGATGAATAGACTACCACTCAACCCAAAAGTTTAAGTTGATATATTGGATAACTTTAATTCATATATGAATATCTCAACCGTTAGAGAGGAACAACACAATAGAGTTTTAACGAGGACTTTCCGTTCAAAATACCACGTTAAATTACCATTAAACCCAAAAACTAATAAATTGGTAGGATTCGTTTTAATCGTTTAGAGATTAACTTTAACACCCCTCTCACTTTTGGGTTAAAAAATTAGCACGAGATAAGATAAGGAGCTATCGTTATTATTAAAAAGAAAATGACGCTACAGGAATTTGAACTCGAGATTTTCTAGTGCCATGTTAAATTACTTCTAGATCTAAAATCTTAAACCTATAGCTTCTCATTGTATATTTTCACTACAGGTACTTTGCTTTGGCAGTGATTCACATCCCCTGTTATGGATTATATGCACTAATTGTGAAGGCAAAATACTCTCTTCTGCCAAGATTGTTTCCTCGTGCTTTTGTCAAGTCTTTTTAGCTCTCACATCAAAAACTAGCTGTTGTTATTTATTCAACTTACGAAATTGTTGGAATCAAACTCTATTGTTACAAAAACAGCGCCGTTTGATAATCAATTCAAATTTATATGTTTTCTTTTTTTCAAAAACCCTTTAATTCGATGTAAATTTTTAAAAAAGGAATATATAGTTTTTAAAAATATATTTCTGTTTTTCAAAATCTCTTTTTTTTTCTTGTAATACTAAAAATTTTTTATCTCACATTTATTTCTAACAAATTTCTTTCTCACTCTAAACTTTTTTCTTCATAAATATCTCTCTAAACAAATTATTCTCTCTCTAAAATTTTAATTATTTATTATTTCTCTCTTCAAATATTTTATCTCTTTTATCTCTTTATTTTTTTCTTTCTATTCTATCAAATCACACTCATCTATCACTAAAAATTTAATATTTTCTCGAACTTYTATCTCTTTTAAATTTCGTCCTTTATAATTTTTCTTTCTCTTCATAATCCATTTTTTTTTCTTTCAATTTTTTCACTATAACTTTAATTTCTATTTGTATTTATTTATTTTTTCTAAAATGTATATTTCGAATCCTGTTTTTATATCTAAATTTTTTCACACCATAATTTTTTTTAACGTATCTTTTCCTCTCAACTTTACTCTTTTTTCTCGATTTGTCTTTAATTTTTCTTCACCAATTTTTCTTTTCAATTTTTTTTATCTATCTAATTTTTTTCTTTCAAAAGTTTATTTTCATCTCTCTACTTATATTTTCATGCCTCTACATTAGGGATGACAAAAATTCCCACAGGTTTCGGTCCTCGTTCAAAGAATAAAAAATGCATGTCCTAACCCTGTCCCCGATTCCATTTTTTATACAATTAATAATTTTTATTTACATATTGATTAAATTGTGAATAAAATAATAAATATTTTTTTAAATAGATTATTTATACTAGTAAATAATAATTCTAAAAATCATTAATATATATTTATTACACTTTTTTTTTATTTCTTAAAATCTATAAATAATTAAAATGAATTATGAAGCCGGTAATTTTTCCCGTGAATATCCCCGTCCCCAAATAAGAATTCTTTAACTTGGATTTCGATTCTCGGACTGGGGACTAAAATTTTAAAGTGCATGAAAATGAGAGAGAACAACCTTACTTTTGCCCAACACCATTGTCATCTCTAGTTTACATAGAATTTTATTTCTCTAATATATATTTTTATTTTTATATCTTTTTAAAAACATAAAATTAAAATGGTTGCTAAACATGTTTTGTTTTTTGTTTTTTAAAAGTAAAAAACAAAAAACAATTATCAAACGTATATATGGTTTTTGTTTTTTAAAAATAGAAAACTAAAAGCCGAAGAAAAACCAAAAATTGAAAACAAAAAATAGAAATGATTATCAAACGAGACCTAAAAGTTTAGAGATTAAAGTCTATGTAATTTATATGTAATTAAATATATAGAAACAAAAAAACTTTATTAGATATTTTGGGTTTGAAAAAGAGATATCTTGAAGGTTGGTCTCTATTTGCAATCATGTTTAATAGGTATTTCACATTGACTCAAGTGTGAAAAAAAAAAGTACTAATGTGGGGAAGTGATAATTAAAAAGTAAAACAGGAAAATTGAAGTGGGCCATTTTCACATAATAACGGCCCATCCGCCCACAAATGGAATTTAATAACGGTCTAGTCCTTCGGCCCATGAGCCCAGCCCAAATAAAATAAATCGAAAATGAAGAAAAATGCGATGAGCGTGGATCGAACACGCGACCTTTAGATCTTCAGTCTGACGCTCTCCCAACTAAGCCATCCCCACCGTTACTTATAATTCAAAACTTTACTTTATATATATTAAATATTTGTTTTTTAGTTTTCAATATTCTCAATCGTTAAACAGACTTGATCCTATTTAATACATATTCCAAAAACTAACGTAAATACTATATGCTATTTTTTATTTTTTATTTTTTGAATACAACATGTAAGAGATCGAATTTATAGCTTCTTGATTAGAGATATATGTTAATTATCGCTATATTATGAGCTATTAACTATCGTATATCAAATTTGGAAAATATTTACAATACTATTATGGTTCAAAGATGTTACTACTTCTAGGTGGTCGATTTCTACTCCTTTTGAAAATAAAACCTTGATACTTATATAAGTGATCTAACAAAAGGATTATAGGAAAATAGCAACTTAAGAGACTTGACATAGCTTAGAGATACAAGACACATGTAGTTAGAAGCAAAATTTTAAATGTTGATGTCGAGGGAAATATCGAGATCTCGACTTCATGGAAATGTTGATGTAAATATCGATGTCGATGGATACTTATAGAAAGGTTATAAAAATAAAAAAAATCATAAATAATATTTAAATTGACAAATAAACATTTCACCGTTTCTAAGTAGTTAAAACTGATTAATATTAATATTATGTCCATTTAATCCTCATGTTGATATCAAACCTATAGATATCAACTGTATGTAAGTACGACCTTTTTTAGTTCGCTTTTATATTACATTAAAATTGAGTTCGATTTGATTATTTATTTATTTTAATTTTTTTTGTAAAATTTCAAACTAAATGTTATTTTATTATTATTTTTTAATAATACGAAATGTGGAAAATGGAGGTTGAACCTCTTACCTCTAGGAAAGGAACAAGACGTCTTAACCGCTAATAAGTTATATGCGCATATTGGCAAATATACACTATATTTGAAGATACATAAATGATGGATTGGGCTAAAGTTTAATATATATAAATAAATACTAATCTCTTAGAAGCAAATGGGTTACGGATTATATGCACTANCTGCCAATATTGTTTCAATTGAGGGGGTACATTTTATATTTACTATTTAGTTATCACGTGCCATGCACGGATATGTATCTAATTATAAATTTCTTTTATAGTTATTAGAATTATGTTTAACATGAAATATAAATAATATATTAATTATTATTAATAGAATATTATACCATTTAAAATTTTGTTAATAATTAAAATTAATTTTGTGCAATTTTTTTTTAATAAAAATTGGTTAATGTTTCATATTAACCTATCTATATATTATAGAACTAGTACGTAAAGATCGTCAATTCTTGGATAATAAAAAATATATATATTATAGAACTAGTAATAATTTTTAAACTTTTCATTAAAATAACTCTATAGTGTTATAAAATTAATGAGGATTTATTAAAAATATAACAGACCCTTACAATAAAAAAGGTCATTTTGAATTTAATAATTTTGTCTATTATTCATCTCAAATATTTTTTACTTTAAAATTATTTATGATTATATATTTATTATTGTCATTAGAAAATAAGAGAAAACAATTTAAAAAAAAACATGCTAAATTTCTTATAAAGTTTGTATCTATAAGAAATTGAGCTAATAAATTTCAAAGTAGACACAAATATTCTAAAATAAAAATAATATCGATTATAAAAAAATAATTAAAAAAATTGTAAGTCATAAAAAAAAAAAAAGTCTAGATATATACACATTTTTTAAAATAGAATTTGTCTCACCTCATAGTTGGAAAAAAAAAACATCATTGTTAAACTAAATCAAACTCAAATTGTATCATTTCGTATTGGGTTTGAGATATTGATATGACTAATCTCATACAATTTAGATGTATCATATATGTTTTGATCTGTTTCACTCTCAAGATTAAAGAGTCAAAGAATGCAACAAATTAAGAGAAACTAATAATAAAGAAAAAAATGAAGTTCAAATATTAATGGATAAATAGTTGGAGGAAGACATCATTTTAGAGTAAAGGTTAGAAAAAAGTTACAAAATTTTTTGAATTCGAAATTATAATATTAATTAAAATGACTAAAGAAAAAATCTTTTAAATTATTGAAACAACTAATCCTTTTATAGTATACCTTTTTTACATTCTATGTATTTATTATTGTTATTGATTGACTGACTACTTATAAATAATTATTAATATCATATTTTATAAATTTAAAATTTGACCATGATAAGATAGTTTAAAAATATTTATAAAAATAATTTTTAATAAATTATAGATTATAGATAAATTCTATTATTAATTATTATTAGCGAAAAACATTAATTTATTCATAAATAAAATAACAACCTTTTAATTTATACTAAAATAATAATAATAATAATAATATTTTAGTATTCTAACCTTTTACTTTCGCAAAAAAAAAAAAGAAAAGATTATTCTAACCTTTTAAATTCCAGTAGTGGTTATGGTGGGTAATTAATGAATTTTATTTACTATTTAATATTAATTTTATACAGCATGTTTGGTAAGTTTATAAATTGAAGAAATAGTATAATCTAAAAATATTTTTTCAAAATCTTCATTTCTTAAGCGAATATAGCTTAGCGATAATCGACATATATCTCCAATTAGAGGTTATGAGTTCGATTTCCCACACCCACATGTTGTACTTCATATATATATATATGGGAGAACTTTTTAACGTAAGATGAAATTATTTATTGATTTTATTTCATATTATAATTAAAATTATTAAAGAAAATAAATTATATTATTGGAAAATGATATCCCGTTTTTGAGATTTCAATACAAATTATTCTTCATATATATATATATATAACTTGAGATGAAATTATTTTATTTATTTTATTTTATATTATAATTAAAATTATTAAAGAAATTTTACTTAAATTATATTATTGGAAAATAATATCCCATCTTTTAAGATTTCAATACAAATTATTGTTCATAATTAATTTATTCATTTACTATTTAAGTAATTAAACGCTTTTTGATATTTTAACTTACGTAAATATGCCAAAACGAGTATAACACAGCAGTAATTGGCATAATTTCCAACCAAGAGGTTGTAAATTTGATACCCCACACCTACATGTTGTATCAAAAAAACTTATGTGAATATTTTTTCAACAACAAAAATATGAGCTTGTAATTGATCTACATTTTAAACAAATATTATAAATAAAATTACCAACTTGATAAAGATGGTTAATTTTTTGGAGATGTTTGGAAGGAACTAAAAGTAAAAAAGTAGTTAAACTCCTATTCTAACAGAA